AGACAGACAGACAGACAGACAGACAGACAGACAGACAGACAGACAGAGAAACAGACAGACAGACAGACAGACAGACAGACAGACAGACAGACAGACAGACAGAGAAACAGACAGACAGACAGACAGACAGACAGACAGACAGACAGACAGACAGAGACAGGGACAGAGAGAGGGAAGAGGTGGGAGGGACAATTTCAATAAAATTACACCTTTTGAAAAAGTGGAGACAGATTTTTGTCATTTTTCCCGACCTTCCTGTGACCAACACTGTGCCGAAGATCCCTTCTTTCTAATAGGGATAGCAAAAAACAAATAACTGAAAGTGAAAGGAGACAAGCTAGAGTGACCGTTCAGCTCGTGTTTGAAACCAAACCTTGATTTGGGATGCTCATCATTGCGCCGGTATCGATGAGTTCGTCTATTCTTTTGACTAAGAGTATGAGTAAGGACATCACATTAGCCTACGCGTCCACCAAAATAAGATCACCTCCAGGTCAAGCTAATGTACGAAGTTTTTGCATGGTGTAGAAGCGACTCAAAAAGATCCACGTCCACCGACATCAGACTAGCGAAACCTATTTTTAGCCCAGCGTGTTATGATTACGAGAACAACAGACAGCACAGGCGATTTATTTATTTATTTATCGCTTTAAAAAACTAAAAAGCAACAAATTATAATTATGGGAAAAATTAATTGTTGGTAAGTTGGGACGATGAGAAAAAGAGAAAAAAAAGCTGGGGCCGGGATTCGAACCCACGCTCCCAAAATAATGTTTGTCCTCAAACGCAGACACGCTGTTCACATCAGCGAGTGCATTGTTTAGCAAGCCAAAAATGAAATCAGAAAAACAAAGCGAAGATCTAGATCTAATGAAGTCGGAGCTCGCGAGTTGTGTGCAATTTTGAACTAACTCCATCATTCTGTTCTTTTTTGTTGTTGTTGTTGTTGTTGTTGTTGTTAATGTTTAATCACTTTGAAATGCTTGTTTAGTACATGTATGTGTTTTAATTTGGTTTTAGCAGAAGTTTTACGGCGCTCTCAACTGCATAAGGTCATATGAGCGCCAAAAGATTAGAGGTGTTACAAGAGAGTAGCAAACCTAAAGAAGAAGAAGGGGAGATAAAGACCATAGATGTTTGATAGGAAAGAAGAAGCAAACCACACCAGAGCACCCGCCAACCACTCACAGAATGTGTTTTACGGTATTTGTAACACATCAAGGTCATATACATATATAAGTGGGGAAGATTAGAGGTGTTGCGAGAGAGTAACAAACACAAAAAAGAAGGAGGGAAGAAAAGGACGATAGATGTTTGATAGGAAAGAAGGAGAAACAACACTAGAGCACCCGCCAGACACCCACCGGGTTCCAATCGCAAGAAAACAATGAGAGTGGGTACAAAAGGAAGCTATAATTCTACTGAACTCAGAACTCCGGTATACCCACCGATCAACCAACTGTTGAAGGACCTATCACGGACGCTCCCGTACCATAGATCTCAGGGCTTCGGTAATTAGGAGACAAACTTAACCGTATCCGTACGCCCTGGGGTCATTTTGTAGCCCCAGGGTTGTGTTCTTCACATTTTAGAATACTTCTAGATCTAGTACGAAGATCTCTTTGAGACTTTCATTATTTCTCAAAAAATCATTTTGACAGACTGCTAGATCTATGAAAAGCGTAGGGGTCGGATTAACGAGTAAATTTCCTCTTTGGAAAGTGGTGGCACAGAGTTCCACACGTCGTATGGATACGATAGTAAAAACACGACGTACAGATAGGGAGATCTCTGTTTCTCTTAGTTCATTTCTGAACAAAGAAACTGCATAAACTGCATGCATATAGATAGACATGAAAAGTCCTCCGTACAGCATTTTTTTAAAGTTAATTTTAAAAAGTAGTAAAAAAAAAACCTCTACGAAGTGATCAAAACGAACGGATGAATCAATACTGTTGAGGCAGTCCTTACGATTTTGCATCTCTTTCTCAAGAGATAAAGTTGTTTATTCATTTTTATGTCTACATCGACACCATGATACATGTTTATATAAAAATCATTCTAAAGTACAGCATGATGAAATGCCCCTTAAAAGTAACTTTTCATTTATATGATCCAGCTTTACAAATCCGATGTATTAAGCACCTTTTAAAGGTAAGTGAAATGAGAGGTTTGCTCTGTTTCCGATGGAAAATGCAACCTACAGAACACAAAGTTTTAATTTGCTATAGGCGCTCTCTCTCTCTCTCTCTCTCTCTCTCTCTCTCTCTCTCTCTCTCTCTCTT